TGATAAAGGCGAGGTCTCAGGCCCATGGGAATTAGAGCAAATTTCCCAGCCATGAACAAGACAACAGTGTCAGAAGTGGGATTCGAACCCACGCCTCCAGGGGAGACTGCGACCTGAACGCAGCGCCTTAGACCGCTCGGCCATCCTGACACGACCTGAAAGGCGGACGAGGTGGCCGAGTGGTTAAGGCGATACGTCGTTTGTTGGAGTGAGCTCTGATAAAGGCGAGGTCTCAGGCCCATGGGAATTAGAGCAAATTTCCCAGCCATGGACAAGACAACTGTGTCAGAAGTGGTATTCGAACCCACGCCTCCAGGGGAGACTGCGACCTGAACGCAGCGCCTTAGACCGCTCGGCCATCCTGACATGACCTGAAATTGTGCTCTGCAGGCGTGGGTTCGAATCCCATCCTCGTCGGACAAGACCCCTTTCTCAGACTTTTTAGTTCCTCCACCCAAATTTCTGAAACCTAAAAAGTCACCCTTCCATGCATTGGTGGTCCAATGGTAGAATTCCCACCTGCCGGTCAATGCAAGCCCTCTTGGATTTACGTGGATCGTCTGTCTCGAGGCCCGTGGAGAGAACCTCTCCTGTCTTGCAAAAGACAGAAAATCCTGGAAAACCCTTGTTTTACGGTTGGATGAATGGAACAAAAGTTCCCAGAGAAAGATGTTGAGCAAATTGTAATTTGGGGAAAAAACTTTTTTTTTGTTTTTTTTTTTTACTGACTTGGTTTTGTGGCACCCCATTTGTCTGTCGCGACTGTCCATTGAAGACATTGAGGATATATAGCAGGTTTTCTCCTGATTGGGTTTGGAGTTGGCCTGATCTACCGCAGCGTTGGAGGGATGTCTACTAGCGCAGAAATTTAGTATGCAGCCAGCCTCAATGTTTTTTCAACAAACTGAATTTGTCCATTGTGAGAAAATAAAGTATCATCTCTCATCTCTCACCCAGGCGCCACTGGTTCAAGCAACAAAATGAGCTAGCTACATGGTTGCTACCCTTGTGGGAGCGTCCCCGGGTGGGCTCGAACCACCAACCTCTCGGTTAACAGCCGAGCGCGCTGGCCGATTGCGCCACAGAGACCTTCCGCTGCAAATGTCTAGTAGAGGGAAACAGACTTGTGTGACAGAGTGGTCTTGTTTCATGGGGGTATGGCTGTGACAGATTGGTGTTGTTTCATGG